TGTCATCATCCTGCCAGACCAGAGCTCCATATGTGTTCACTTTCAGTCTTTCCTTTTGCCGAAGCAACGTTATTACCTCCTTGTCCATTGCTCGTTTGTCAACATCTGCCCACTCTCTTATCACTCTGATTACCTCTCGAAGTTTAGGATCAGATTTCTGTTGCCGGACGAGTTCTAGTGAGTCTCCCTCTATACTGTTCACCGCGTATGCTGTCAATGGAAGCTCGGCTTCCATGTCTGGTCTTGAAAGATAGTCCGCCATTACATTTTCCTTCCCTGGAACATGCCCGATACTGAAGTCATACTCCTGCAGACGTATCATCCATCGCGCCAACTTCCTACGTGGGTCTCGTGCTGTTTGTAGCCACTGCAGAGGTTTATGGTCAGTCTCGATGTGAAATCATCTACCTAACAGATATGGTCTCCACTTGTCTACTGCCCACACAGTCGCTAAACACTCCTTTTCGATCGTTGAATACTTCTGTTCCGCAGGCGTGAGAACGCGACTTGCGTATTCCACCACTCTATCAGACTGACTTAAAACGGCACCTATACCATGGTCACTTGCGTCTGTTGTCACTGTAAACAGTTTCTTCAGTTCGGGCAGTCTGAGCGTCATCTGGCGGTCGTCCAGCATGTTTTTGATTTGATTAAACGTTTGTTGGGCGGTTTCAGTCCACGAAAATTAAGTGTTACTCAACAACTTATAAAGGGGTGCTGCTATTTCGTTGAAATTCTTGATGAGCCGACTGTAGAACGCCGCCCTTCCCAGGAACTGCCTCAATTTACTTTTCGAATTCGGTACTGCAACGTTCTTTATAGTCAGAATTTTCTCCGGCAGTGGTTTTATTTCTCCATTTCCCACTTTATGCCCCAACAACGTGATGCTACTTTTCGCCATCTGTGACTTGTCCTTATTAATTCGAAGTCCGAATTCTTCAATTCGCTTTAGGACCGCTTCCACATGCTTGACATGATCTGTTTCTGTCTGGCTGTATACAACTACATCGTCGCCATACACTTCGACATTATCTAGATCCCTGAGCAGTAGCGACATTAATCTTCTGAACGTAAATGGTGCACCCGCCAATCCAAACGGCATTCATCTAATTTGCTATTGTTTATCACGTATGGCAAATGCTGTCTTGTTTTTATGTTGGTTTGTTCTCTGAGCTGGATGGTTTGGTCGTGGAGCTTTCATCGTCCTTCTGAACGACATCATCAGCACAAACTTCGGGTAGAAGTGAAGTGTTTGAATTTCTCCACATGTGATTCACAGCAGAGGACAAGCTGTCAGATATTCTATTCCTTACTCACCATACATACTACTTATGTCGATATCAGTAGCTCACACCCCACTATGTAGTCGATAAGAACGGCACGAACGATAGCATCAGTATCGGTTGCCTCAAAGCAGCGTACTTAGAAGGAAGCCCTAGCTACGTCGACTTGCTTTCAGTACATTCAAACGACACGGCTCCCACACTCGTAGTACCCCACACGACAGCCGACACACCTTGATGCTTCGTCAACATCGGAAAATAAACCTAATACAACACGTTCTGGAAGAAGAGTAAGATTTCCAGAACATCTGAACGACTATTGCACGTGAGACACAAACTCAATCTCAAAATCCCTTTTCATTATTTATCATGAAAAATAATTTTTTAATATGCCCATTTTTTATATATTTATTTTTAAAAAAAAGCAAAACATTTTTATTTTTTTGAGCGTATTTATATTTTTTTCATAAAGAAAAGAAACTTGAAAGTAAACAGTTTTTCTAATCGCTTTTACGCTGTCGCAAGCGTATTAGTTTATATATATATTTTTTTCCCGCTCACCTTGTGTCCTTACGCAAGTACGTGTATTTTCGACATGCACTTACATTTTCCATTTTTTTCTTTTCCAGCACGGCTGGAAAAGAACGACGAAGTTTCACAAGGAACCAAAATTTTCATTGTACTTCATTTTCTTATTGCTATGTTGTACCTCATGGTCCCTTGGTGTAAGGAAAGACGATCAGACGCTGCTAAACATAGCAAGCTATCAGAAGTGTGTTTACCAACGACAAACTCGTCGGGTTTAAGTGTCTGGCTGGTCACGTCTTAGGGGCATCACTACCTCACTATGGGGGGAGTGATCTGTAGCTGTAAATAAATCCCCAAAATCAATAGCTCATTATGTGTTCGACATTGGATGCCGACCACGTTGTTTAAGTGGACTTGTTTAACTGAAGGCTTTCGGTCATGCATCCGTACCAGATCACGTTTCGAACCAACACGTGACACTGCTCCTACGTTCACTAGCCAGAATGGATCAAACGCTTCTGGATATATTGATAACGTATCAAATATATCTGTAAGATCCAAAACTAAATTCCAATAGGTCTGGTTGTGGTTCAATAACGATAGTACAGGTTTAGTATTTCGTTCACAATCGAAATCAGAACGAGGTGTTTTGGAGTAATAACGGCTCTAAATTTCATCATATATACAAATGTACAAATTTACCTAAACAAATATTACCACCCAGTTATTCAACCAACAATTGATCCCCAAATATTAAATCTAAATTACAGTGAATAGTAAAGTGGTAAGAAATATATGAAGATTACCGAAAACACCAAAAGGTGAGTGTTATTCTATCCCTTCTGGATAGATCAAGTAAGATTCCGTTTGAGCGTCTGTTTTACAACACAGTGTTTCAATATCTGGGAAAATGCTTCAAATTACAACCAAAATGCACGATCCCAGTCAAAATCAAACCGCACAATCAAAGAGCGAGCAGTCAATATGGCAGCCGCCAGAATAATATCAATTAAAACAAACTAAATACAGTTCAGTAAGAAATATAGAGACTCAATAAAAACGATAAGAAAACCGGGAAAATTAAACGTTACAGACTTAATTAGCATCAAAAAAGCAAACAATATATACAAATGAAGAAACGACAAGGAAGAAATCATAAATGTATGCATGGAGAGATTTTCACTTTCAAAATGAATCTAACAATATCTTTCCGATCTCCTCGCATCTGACTTCTGATTTCATTTGGTTGGGGAGAGCTTCGTATATAGAAGGTGTTTCATTTAATAGGTTCAAAATAGATTTAATAATCTAGTGAATAGTTGTCAAACTCAAAGCTTGATATATCCTTGGAAGTTATGTCAGTTGACCAACTAGGAAAATGCCAAGTACACAGATCGAAAAAATATGGTATGGTATTTCGACAGAGGCTAGTTGAAAACGAAATGAGTATCTGATGAGTATTTATCAGTATACTTTGTCAGAGTGTGGTGTGTAATTTTAAATAAGGACTTTATTGACGTCTTACAGACAGTGATAGCGACTTTGTAAGGGAGGTAGGAATGTGAGAGTTAGGCATGGTTACCAAGTGTCATTGACAATGTCTGAGTTTGTGCTTAACTATCTTCACATTTTGTACGACAATAAAGACCAAAAGTGTCTCCGGAATCAAGGAGCCGGCAGAAAGAAATTAATTGGCTTGCGAACCCTTTAAGTGTATGTTTTAATCTATCCGTAACCCAGGGTCGTCTACCAAAAGACTGGAAGAACGCCATAGTAAGTCCAGTCTTCAAAACAGATACAAAACATAAATCTGAGAATTACCGACCAATTAGCCTAAATAGTGTGGTTGTTAAAATCTTAGAAAAGATTATTCGGAAGGAGCTGTTAAAGTAACGCGATGAAAACCGGATCCTCTCCGAAAAGCAGCATGGTTTTAGAACAGGTTACTCTTGTCTCGCAAACTTATTAGTCGCTCGTGAAAGCTGGTGGGCTCTTAAGGACCAAAAGTTACCTATAGACGTAGTTTACATTGATTTCAGCAAAGCCTTCGACAAAGTTCCGCATAACCGGCTGTTATATAAGCTAAGGAATGTCGGGATTGGAGGCAATCTATTGATGTGGATAAAAGACTTCCTAGTTGGGCGTCAACAAAGAGTAAGGGCGAACTCCAAGCTGTCTAGCTGGGAAACTGTGCTTAGTGGAGTCCCCCAGGGTACAGTTTTGGGGCCAGTGTTATTACTCCTGTACGTAAATGACCTCCCTCATCTACTATCATCATCGGTCTTACTCTATGCTGATGATGTCAAGATATGGAGAGCGATACAAAGCAGGGGCGATAGCTTAGAACTTCAAAATGACCTGGAGAGATTATCTGAATGGTCTCAAACCTGGCAATTGCCGATAAACACTTCCAAGTGTATTGTGATGCATATTGGCCACCAGGGTACAGATACATGCATGATGAATAACACTGAGTTACCTATTGTCCAGGCACACAATGACTTAGGCGTCATCGTTAGTCAAGACTTAAAGACTACTGCACACTGCCGTGCAATAGCCGCCAAAGGTTTTAGGACTTTATGGTCCATACGCAGGGCTTTTAGGCATCTTGACGCTAAAACGTTTCTGACTTTGTATACAGTGTTCGTACGCCCTAAACTTGAGTACTGCATATAAGCAGCTAGCCCCTGCCTAAAAAAAGACAGCGAACTCTTGGAAAGGGTTCAGAGAACAGCAACTAGGCTGATTCCCGGAATAGCGAAACTCCCGTATGGTACTAGACTGACCAAGCTAAACCTATTCCCGCTGTCATGTAGAAGAATCAGAGGCGACTTGATTACAGTTTTCAAATTGCTTAATGACAAATTTGCACCTGATATGCCCTCATTTTTCTTGTCTTCCAAAACAGAAAATCTACGAGGACACTCCAAAAAAGTTCACAAGCCCCGAACGAATTACTTGTCGGCTGACTACCGACTTTCCCATCGAATAATCAACGAGTGGGATTCATTACCTCAGCACGTGGTTGAGGCTCCATCCATCGACTCCTTCAAAAGAAAGTTGGATCAGCTGAGAGACAATCATTGCCAGGACTAACACAGATCATCAAGCCTCCTGTCCTTTCCAAATTGAAACTGAAACTGAATTAGCTCACCTGAAAGGTGGTGGGTATATATTGGATATTGGTCTGACCGGGTGTTTTAAGGTCTGGAACTGTATCGCGTTTGGTTTCGTTTCTGAGTCCGTCTTGGGTTCATGTTTGTGCTTCATTATTAGGTCTTCACTGTAATTGTGTTTTCGTTTGCTGACTTTAAAACTAAAACGTTTTGTCATTTTTTCGTCCAAATCATCAAGGAGGGTTTTTGGGACTGGTTCTTTCCGCGTTTTCCATCACTCAATACATAAACAGACTGTGCTCAAGCCTATTGACGATTAAACGCTACAGAATATTCCTAGCCACCCAAGATTCACTCTGTAATGTTGAGGTTGCTGATCGTGTTTGTATCTACTGTTTTAAGTGGCGTGTTTCCCGATGAACATAGTCATGTGGTGAGTTTCTGTGGTCATAAATTCTTGTGTATATTATTACCTTCCCTATCTAAATTCCTAGCTCATACACCAGGAATTCCGTTATACTGATCGATGATCCTGGTAAAGGAAAGGAGACGAACGTAACTGGTCAGTGGAGGTTTATTCAACTTAGTCTAATAAGCACCCTTCATATAATAATGACCTTCTAAGTTACTTTGGCGATCCTGTACGCTAGTGAAAGTTCAGTAGCATTAGTCTTAATGGCCGACAGCGTGAATTCAGTCGGTTTGAACACCCGGGTAGTATCCAGATCCTTATACAAATCGAATGATTTATGGCTCATACCTGTTTGGTGCCTCCTTGTATCAATACTTATGTGTTTAAATAAGTAAATAAATAAAACTTCGAACTGAAACATTTAAGTGGGTCGTTTGGCATCACAGCTCAACAAACAGATAACAGTAACTGTGTGATGCAGTTGTACTCAGATAAGCGTCTATTCCTGGCAAGTGCAGACTTTAAGCATAAGAAGAAAGGACGTAGCTCAACTTGGAGATCCTCAACATCAACACAATGATGGATTAAAAAAAGACCATACTTCCATCGGGGGACGTTTTGGAGGCTCAACAGGAGACTGACGCTCCTACTGGTGTATGTATTCGGACTGCGATCACGTTCTAGTAAGAGCACGGGTTTCCAGGTGTTTTACTGAACCTGAGGAATTCACAACGGGAGGCCGCCTTAAATGTTATTTTGATGACGAAGCGGTCAAGGATACACCCATGGATTGACTGAGATCATATTCGCAATCTGAAAACTGACCGCAGTTCTATCTCTTTGCTCACAATTTCTGATAGTTTCAGTTTATGAGAAAAAACTGGAATCACGTGATAACCACAGAGGAATAAATTTGGTCAATTTCTAAGATACTGGCTTTAACAACTATTCGGGGCTGAACTGTGGCTCACGAAGACCAGACTAATTTCGATCTTGGGTGTTGATGAATCGATCAGGTGTCCTTTCTTCTCTAGGTTCTGGAACGTTGACATACTTCCTGGTATCTGACTACGGCTGTATATCTCGGCTTTGGGCAGACATCGGCTTTGTTGAGACAGAGGTTTTGCTATAATGGTAGTCATTGAAAAGCGTATGGAAGATATACATAAACCTTTTAAAAGGGCTCTATTCAAACACTGTTGTTATAGTCATAGTTTATAGCTAACTGTCATCGCAATTAGCAACATCAAGTTGTGTTATTCAGGGTTGCTACTTTCCACATTAATAACTTCACCACAGGCATTCTTTTGAAGATAGCTTTTTCACCATCCGCCTTTCCAGAGAATAACTTCCTGCCAGGGGAATCACTTACCGATTTTGTATATGCAGATGGTACATCCCTGTTTTGTGAAGATACCGAACAAATCAAAGTGAATAAAGTAGTTTATCATATCAGCCACTGCACTTACGACAGTTTTTTTGGATTTGCTCAGTTGTGGTTTATTGGTTTTTGACGAAAACTTGGCATGAATTCAGGTAGCTCGGTTGAGATATCTGTCTACCAACTGAAGGGTAACTTTACGGTGTAACGGTCCTCTCTGTTCTGTTTTATGACTGTTAAACGTGGCCTTTGAAAGTAAAGGGTACTCAGGTTACTAATATTTGATCACAGGTGTTTTGAAAACATTATAAGATCATCGTGTGGACAATTTATCCATTTATTTATTTGTTTAGGTGAATATTGATACGAAGAGGCATCAAATGTACACGCGCCATACAAATAATTCGGTTTGTGTAAGGACTGGAATACTTCCTGGGATTCCAGACCGAGGCAGGTAATTTTCTTAGGTGACCACTCCCGACCCTTTGACCTAAAGGTCTAATCCAGCGGAGCAGCGTTAGTAGATATCCCATGGTAGCCGCCGACCAACAATAGGTTTATACGCCATTTGTTCCCTCAGGATCCTGGAGCATGTAGTGCCGTGCTTCAATAATAGTTCACTTTGATAACCATTATTATATCAATCTTAACGGTGTATAAAATCAGAAGGCAAAAGAAAGCGGCAACTATATTTTTATTGATGAATGATACAGAGCAGAAAGTTGTATGCACATGAGCAAATGTAAGCGAGCGGAGCAAAGATGATGCATAGTGGAGATGGCTAGGAAGCCAACTCGAGAGCGAAGCGAAAACAACGCGTATTGGAGATGGCTGGGAAGCCAACTCATTGTAAGCAAGCGTTAATCAGCATTTATAGTCAGACAAAAATGAATGACAGACATGCGATGAATAAGATACGAAATGTGCATACACATACGCTCATATAAAATGGTAGTCAAGGTTAATAAGCGAATAATTAGCAAGATCAAAATATGACTCATAATATATAGGTGAATTAGCTTGGCCAAAAGCTAGAATAAAGTATATGGGCCTAACATAACAACCGATACTACAAGCCCATGTACACCATTAGTTTGGAACCAGGGTTTTACAACCCCCCTAGTTGGGATCCTCCATATCCACCAACCCGATTAAAGCTCTGCTTTTCGTCCTCTCAATTTCGTAAACAACACCCCCGACAAGAGAAGGCAGTGAGTAGGGCTACCCTGGCAGTTGTTGTATGCACGGGGCCATGCGAGTACGTTTCGAGAGGGAGAGCTGACTCTCCCCACCCTCGGCAATACCTAAGCATTTGGGGGCAATGTTTGTGTTAGCGATAAGGTACCACTTAAGGGTGGCAAATCAATCAGTAAGGTAGTGAATCTTTAAATGAAGTGGTTGGGATATGTATTACGTATACGCAATCATGTTTGTTAGTGTAGGAATAGGCTGGAAGGAAGGTAAGAGGGGCGAAACCTTGACATAACATTAATCCATAAAGTTATTGACTTCTGAACAGCGGCGAATGTAGGTTCAGGCTACCTGATTGAGGTCTAGGTGATTATCGTAACTAATGACAATAACTTTTGGTGACATGATTTAGAACTATTCGTAATGAAGCGAGCACATCCACTCGTTGTTCTTGCTTGGATTATGAGTCCTGAAATTTTCTTGACTCTTTTTAATACCGAATCTATCCTAGTACTATTGATATTGTTACTATTTCTGCTACTCTGGAATTCGTCTTTATAATTTTATGTCTCTGTACTAATGGGCTGTGGCAACTTGAACCGATGCACTTATTTACCAGATTTTACGTTGCATGTGGCTGACTGAATTGACTGCTTCGTTGGGGTGAAATTGCGACTATTGTTCCAATGTCCGCTTGTTACAGTAAGTATACTTAATTGGATGGGCTGGCAGTGGATCCAGATGTTATCTATAAGGTCCGCAAAATAACTATGAATTACTTTTGTATAGAGCTTAGGTGGTGTGGCTCAGATGTAGTCATCATTAATATTCCTTTAAGGTCAGGGTTTTAATCACATTTCATACTTTCCATTTATTATTTTTGTACTGTTTTTTATATTTTATGTGCAGTTGATATTACTTCTATTTATTTTGTAATCTTGAGTCCACCCTGGTAATCCTTAAGTCATTCTATGGCCTAGGATAACGCGACAATTTCTTATTCTTTCTATAAGACGTAAAATATTTCTCTCCCTTTTGTTACCTTTTCTACTTGAATTTTCATTCAATCGACCTTTATTATTTTCTTATAAAATGCCTTGACAAGTATGTGTGTGACTAGATTGTTCGAAATATATAGCCCAAATACATCATATTATTCAGATCAACTCCGTCTTCTAATTGTTCTATCGAAATTTATAAAGGGGACTAATTGCTTAAAATTTCTATTTATGTTAAAATCTTTTGTTGGAATTATTTGAGCAATGGGAAGTTGGTTTGATAAACATTCGTGTCAGATCGTTTGTTGGTAGTGAATGACTGACTGTCGTGACAACATGAATCACTGAGATGTCGGACAGGGAATGTCAGTTGCAGTTTATGAGGGTAGCTACTTTAAAAGTGTTCGTTCTTATCATGTGTTGATTTTTGCTTGCACGCACAGAAGAATTTCCAACCTTAGTTTCCATGTAGTTGAACCAAATGCTAACTAAACTATTTTCGTAGTAAAAAGTTTAACACAATTCAGTCATGCCAAATCATGTGTTGGATTTTATTAATTGCTGCATTTTTGATAAGTTATTCTAATTGTATGGCCTCGTTTTCAGTATGATGTTGCAGAAGAAGTGGTTCTATGGATGAACACCATTGGACCATACCACAATCGTCAAGAAACTTACGGATACTTTACCTTGCCCTTTTGTCGTGGACCTAAAATTTCAATTGAACATACCCATGAAACTCTGGGTGAAGCTTTACAGGGGACAGAACTTCAGTATAGCGGGATAGATATTCGATTTAAAAGTGCGTGTATTTTTTTATAAACTTTTGAATTAGTTAACAAACCTAAGTCAACGATGTGTGAAGTTGATGTCAATTCAGATGCTTATATAGCTTTCAGTAAAGCTATCGAGCAACAATATTGGTATCAAATGTATTTGGATGATCTACCGATTTGGGCTGTTGTAGGGGAGGTAAGCAAAGACGGTCATCCTAGTATTTGGACTCACAAAGAATTGGAAATTGGATATAACGGAAATCAAATCGTTTTTGTCAATTTAATCAATGGTGACTTGACTCCTTTAAAACCGAACACTAAAATTACATTCTCGTATAAGGTAAGCTGTCTACTTTTCTGTTTCAAACTTTTAAGTATTACAAGCTTCAGTATGTTCACTGATTAAAGTCTACGATATATAACGGAGTGAAAGTTTGTGACCTTGCACACGGTTTTTATTCATGTCTGTAGACCGTCATCCTATTAGTTGGCTATCTTAGAATATGCAATATAAGTCAAGGCAATTCGGATAAAATAAGTTAGAACGTTTATTTGTCTTGATGTCTACTCTTAATAAGGTTACGAATATTATTTCATTAAATAATATTTAGTTAATAGCAGTATTTGATCAAATAATATTCGTAACCTTCCTAATACTATCCAAAAGAATCCACCAACAAACATGACCGGAGGTAACATTTTTTCCAAAGAAGTTGCCGTTCTCGGAGCTATAGTTCTAAAATGGTGTTACCGGTAAAGTTATGACAAAAAGGTTGAGAAAAGTTCAGAAAAGACTTATTACAGCCCAACTGAATACGTATTTCTTTAATCATCTCGCACTGAGAATTGCCAATAATGACGAACTGCCTGAATTCGCAAATTCATGAGTGATTATTAATTAAACTACTGCTGAGCTAGTTATATAAGGCGCACAGTTCAGCAAGTTCGTAATCTTATAGCAAAAGAATTATCCGTTTTGGTTAAGCAAAAGACATTTAAGAGTGCTTATGAGTTTTATTCTCCCATATTTGGTGGATACAGGTCATCACATTGACCGAAATAAAACTTTTCCAGTCATCCATCATATGCCATCAAATTTACCTCATGGTTTGCGGGTTCTTTTGTATATTGTTGAAGCTATAAAAATCCATATTTAAAAACCCAACCTTCGTACTAAAAAGTACTTACAACTCCTCTCTCTATCTTGATTATCAATATGGGAGTGAGTTTTAGCTGAATTTTGATTCAATCCATTCATTCGTGATAAGTTTGCTAATTGAACGTTAGGTCCTATTTCCTGGCTGTTTCCAATGACTTCAGGCTGAATCCACTCGGCGCAATGGAAAAGGAGCGAAGTGCAAAACCAAAGACTGGTGATAAGGATTTATTTGACTGACAAAATAAAGCAATGATTTATTGACGCACCACCTATATAATTCATTTAGGTACATTTACAGTCAGTGAGCTGAGTTGTATTTAACAAAGATAGTTCTATAGGTCACTGTGTGAACACATATTTACCATGTCACACAATTAAGCATCTATAATCCTGCTTGAGATGTAAATACATTTCACGCATGATTGGAAAAAATTAATATCACATGTCATTCGCACTCCAGTTGATTTTTCTCCATTCTATTTCTAAAGGATAGAAAATTTTCTAATCTCACACGTTTACGTCCCTACATATTGTTGATATCTGTCCGATGATAATTGACTTTTCCAAAATACTTTGTTAATTGTTATTAGATATTATATAATCTAGCGAACGTTCAATTTGATTTCTTCGATTTACACAAACCATTAAATTATCAGAATTCTCCTTCCAATTACTCAGTTAATCACTCAACATTTTTGTCATCACTTTTAGACTACATAATTATTATTTGACACGACTACTCGACTAGTATTATTTTATTGTAGTAAACCATATATATATATATATATATATATATATATATATATATCAGAGCCATGATGAGACATTAATAAAAAGAAATTTCTTCAATCTATTCATCTTTTTATTTATTATCTGAATAGGGGTTTTCACTGTACTAAGTAATTTGTTTGCAGGCTTTTGTTAAGTAGATCATATCATATATAATATGGCGATAAACAATAGCTACGAGAAGAAATGGATCGGAAAATGTTTCCACCCCACTTTCACTTCTACATGAGCATCAGCTAGCTGTTGTATGCCACGACATAGCTTCGTTCATATCGGTTCATATATACATTTATGGACGTGTGTCCAACTTAGAGGACTGAGATATTTAGTGGGAAATGCATGAAGAAAACTAAAGGGTATTTTTAAAACCGGACACCACGATCACGCATCAGTCGACCCAGTCTATCAGCTATTAAGAAAAAGATTGGAACGTAGGACAATCAAAATAAACGTCTTAACAATGACCATCGATATTACATAAATATCTTCAAGTAAATAAGTAATTTCGTAGCTAAACAGTGCATTAAAAGTGTTTGCCATCTGTGAAATAAATATCCACTGGTTCAATTTTGATTTGTTTCTATGATTGTATGAATATATGACATGGTATTTGAGTATTGGTAAATAACTACAAATCTGTTGGTTGATTTTCGGTGCTGACGTATAAGTTATTTAATCAAATCCAATGTTTTTTTCTACATTCAAAAAAGGTTAGATGGGTTCCATCAGAAATAGACTTTGCTGATCGATTTGATAAGTATTTGGATTACGAATTCTTTGGACACAAGGTAAGAAGGCATTAGATGACTTTTTATGATGAAGTATTGGTATTTCAATCTCAGGTGAATCTGCCTAAACTTGATCGATACTATCATTATTTAGTGGCTGAGAAACATATTACATAAATTTTTTTGTGAAAGTTGATAAATCAGTTTGCTTATAAACATTCCACACATATTTTCTATTAGGCTAAGTATATGGTAATTAGGCTAGATGATAAGACGTAGTTTTAAACACCTTTGTCGCATATCTGGGGTCATTATTTAATCACCCATTGTAATTACACCAGTGAATTGAATTCCTCAGTTTGAGACTGAAAATTTCTAACCAGCGATAAAGTAATATGAAACCTCCTATCGTTTCTAATTATGATAGGATTGATAACTAATTCCTCACTAAATATGCAAACTGTTGAAACCGTCTACGATGTTAAAAGACACATGCGGCTAGTATATTCGTTAGCGTTTCATGACAGAAATGTTACCATTTACTGAGTGATTTGTTGGTTTAGCAAAGGAGCTTTCTTATTTGGTTTACACAGTTTATTTATAGCAGAGTTTATGCTTACTGTTGGTCTATTTCGTATGTTTATTCGAAGAAATTAATGACTATAAAACCGACTATCATTTAACTCTGTTCATTTTTATCATTTAGTTTTGTCTAAAAGGTAGCAGTGTGAATAATTTGTAAAAAAGGATTATTCGTATTAGCTTGTTGCTTTTACCCTTTCAACAAGCACTTACTATTTCGTATCATTGGACAGCTTCTTTAAGTTTGTGAAATTGCTGATACAACCGTATAATAACCCAACTAAATTCATCGTCCTATTAATAAGTTGTTCAGTTGATTTCTCTAGTTAAAATCAAGAAGTTGCATTCTATCAGTTTAATCCTGCTTGGCATTTTGTAGCCAGTTACAACAGTAATAGGTTTGGTGTGTTGTTGCGATTTCGATAGTCTTGTATCGTCCTGATAGATATTGTTCTTTAAGCAATGTATACCTCTTGACTGCATTATAGTTAATACTTGACCATCTTATCTATTAGACTGCCAACAACAGTTTAGTATTTCGCTTACAAATGTATTATTGACTGTAATACAAAAAAGAAAAACACCGAGTTTTATACATTTTCCCTATTTGTCAGACCTGTAATGTTTATTCGTATTTTCCTGTAATGCTAACAATAGTTTTCATTATGGGGTTGTGGAGATTGTTCAACTTCATTAAAATTACGAACCAATTTAAGTTAGACCACCATTGAAAACCTAGAAGCACCGGATGGCCGGTACGTCCTAGTATGGAACTCCTCAGTAGTGGCTTAACTGAAATCGGCTCATGATTTCAATGAAGCTAATAAATGTTTATTTATTTATCATGTAAATCTATTTCTTGTTGTAACGTTGCTGTGTTTATGGTATATTATTCACATAGTGATGGAAATACTGGTAGTTATATACACACAGATTTAAAAAAATTTCCGTCTCACTAATCTAATTCTGGATTACTTACGTCTGCGCTTTAATGAATGAAATTTCATCAGACCATTTCGTACCGTACTCGATATTAAAACCACTAAGGTTTCTGAGCTATATGATCAGAGGGTATTGTGATAGCTGTTGTGTCGGACGGCCATCCGATTCTGTTGCTGATGTTCACACCATTTAGCTACTTGATTAACAAAACTAGAAACAAGTAGGAAGCGCTATCAGCTAAAAGAGGCAGAGTGTCTACACTGATGTTTCCCTCATGTAATTAAACTAAACCTCAACCAAGAGCTTACATTCATCGACATTTCCCATTTAGCATTTGGGCTTGAACTAATATTTCTTATTGACCCAGCCTATTAGTAGTTGTCTGGCAAGGAATATCACTATTACACTTAAGTTGACTACTTCGCTTAATTTTGGGTGCATTATGAACTTGTAAATAATAATTTACTGTTTCACTGCTCCCAATTAGAAATAAACTGTATAGCTGGAAAGTATTAGTCGCTTGCACGCATGCAGCACGTAAGGTCTGAGAGCACATCAAAAACTATTTTCATAAGGGCCATGTGTGAACGCCCTGTGCCTTGGGCTCTGCATTCACGCTGTAAAGTCGTCGCCCCTTCCCAAACCTTCACTGACTGTAGCACGAATAAAGTACCAAATGAGTTCCACAGGACAACGGAATCTCCAGAAAGACAGACGCTTAAATGTATTGATCGTAGCTACCAATCTTAAGGTCATAGACAGTCAGTCAGTCAGTTACAACGTAGAACTTCGTACGTACGTACATCAGTTCGAGTCGCCATACCACATTAGCACAGAGATGAAGTTGTCGATTCAAATACCATATTGGTAGAAGTAGTAAGAATATAAGTATTATGTGAAAGATAAGGGTTTGAAGATGTTATTGAAGGGGTATAACACGGTGAAATAAATTTGGAAAGAGAAAAAGGATACGGACATGAAGAATTCAGAAGATTAGAATTTGGTAGAACACAAAGAGTGGATGCACCTTCGCCATTGCAAACGATTTTGAGCCATGTCATTCAAGATCTATAACCATCGGTTGCTATCATCTCGCGAATCCCAACCAGGTAGTCTACACGTACCAACATGGCCTAGTCCACTTGTCAGCGACTTCATGGATTTATGCCAAAATTGTTCTGGCCGCCCTAAGCTTTCTTCCAATCTACTCCTTCACCATAAAGCATTGCACGTCGGGGCAGTCGGTGGTTGGGCATACGTAACACATGTCCCAGCCATCTCAACTGATGAAGTTTCACTACTTCACCAATCGATTTGCCATCCTTAACTAGTACCCGTTTCCTAACATCTGCATTACTTACCCGGTGGTCCCAGGATATACGAGCAATGCGTCGAAGACACCTATGATCGAACACTAGTAGCCTACGAATATCCTCTACTCTTATCGGCCATGTTTCACTGCCATAAAGTAGGACGGAACGGACTGCTGCACAGTAAACCCATTCTTTGGTTGGTAGACGGATATCTCGCCTACGCCGTAAATGGTGTAAGTTGGCGAAAGCTAGACGAGCCTTCTGTATCCGTGCTGAGATTTCGTCACACACCAGACCGCAAGGGCTGATGAGACTCCCAATATAAGTGAAGTGGTCTACACGCTCAACTACTTCACTCCCTATCATTAGTTCAGGTGCCGATGCAACCCAATTCTGAAGTAACATTTTGCACTTTGAGCGAGAGAATTGCATCCCGAACATTTCTGCATAGTTGCCTATGGTGGTCAGAAGACTTTGCATTTTGTCAGCGTCTTCATCGAATAAAACTATGTCGTCGGCGTATTCTAAGTCAACAAGTGAATCTCCTGGTAAAAGTTTAACTCCAGGAGATTGAGATGATAAAAGTGATATCTCTAAAAGCATGTCAACGACAAAGTTAAACAAGAATGGGGAGAGTGGACAGCCCTGACGAACACTACTTGAGGTAACCAATTCTGATGACAGTTCGCCATAGGCTCCAACCCGACCAGTTGTGTTCGAGTAGAGAGCCTTTATGAGGTTAATGTACTTCTTTGGTACTCCTTTCACTGACAAACACTGCCATAGAACCTCACGATCAACCGAGTCAAATGCCGCCTTAAGGTCAAGAAATACTACTATTGTGAGACGTCTGAATGTATGTCTATGTTCTAGGACCTGACGTAGAGTGAATATCTGGTCTATGTAACCACGTCCAGGTCGGAAACCAGACTGGTTTTCTCTGGTCTGCTCTTCACGAGCTTTGGTTAGGCGTCCAAGTATTATTGAAGCTAATATTTTAGACACTATTTTAGTCAAACTGTTCCCTCTGTGATTGTCACAGGAGGACTTTTGTCCTTTCTTATAGACTGGCACAATCAGTGATTGGGATCAGTCCAGTTCCCAGATTCTACCTAAGACCTCAGTCAATCTCGTTGCTAGTACTAGACCACCATCCTTAAAAATCTCAGGGGTAAACCTGTCAGGACCTGCGGCTCTCCCTCGCTTTAAATTTCCTATAGCTCTTTCAACCTCGTAGAGAGTTGGAGGACTTACCTCAATTTAACATTCAGGATGACTGGGGATCGTGGGTAACTGAACTGTGGCTGAAGGCCAGTTGAACTGATCCCTAAAGTGTTCTGCCCATCGATCCAATCTCCTGGATTGAGAATGAATGATATGCCTATCTTTGTTTGAGATAGTTTCGCTAATAGTTGGGTTCCTAATACCGGTTTCTTTAACAAGTCTGAACAGTTATCTTTTGTTACCCATTGCCGCTGCCTTTCCCATCTCTCTCGCTTTCGCTACCCACCACTGTTCACGATCATTGCGTAGGCATCTTATTAGCCTTCGCTTAAGCTGACTCCACTCTTCGTTATGTTCAGAGACAGGTGGGATGAGTTTTCGAGCATCTATCAGTGCGGTAGATGCTGCTGAGATCCATTCTTTCTCCCTGACCTTATGGCTTACCTTACTAGCGGATATCACTGCTGTTTCCACAGCTTTTCGGATGTCATTCCACGCTGCTTCGGGGTGGGCACAACTTACAAGTCTGTCTAACTGTTTTTCCAGTTGTTCCTGAAATATATTCTTAGCTTAAATTCAACTTAGTATTGTTTGTTTGAATCTTCCCATCGATTTGTTAGGACTGCAACTGGTCAGTCTCTAATTGGCATATGTGCATACTGTGCGTATTGCCTCGATATACCTTAATTCACAAGCATGGTTAGCAGAGATGGATAGTGGCTAGCAGTGGAATCCAGGACGCGCGTTTCGTCCTGTTTGGGACTCGTCAGCTGGATGTACCTGCATCTCAGAGTTGATGTTCACTCTGGGATTCGAACCCAGTACCCTCGCTTCAAACGCCATCGCGTTATCCACTCGGCCGCTGAGTCCTGATAGCCACTTGCTTGTGCGATGGGGTGAAGTTTAAATTCAACTTAGTATTGTTTGTTTGAATCTTCCCATCGATTTGAACATCAACTCTGAGATGCAGGTACATCCAGCTGACGAGTCCAAAATAGGACGAAACGCGCGTCCTGGATTCCACTGCTAGCCACTATCCATCTCTGCTAACTATTCTTAGCTTGCCTATCATTAAGTAGAACCCTAAGAGGCATCGTTGCAGTGTCTTTCCTACGTCCAGCAAGACGCAGACAGATACGTGCTCTCACTAGAGCATGATCTGAGTCTAAACATGTGCTCCAGAATGAGCGACAGTCTTCTATCGAGCCCCTCCATCGGTGGCTGAGAGCGATGTGATCCAGTTGGGTCCAACGTTGGGAAGAATTCGAGGGTCGACACGTCAAAAGATGTTTTTCCTTGTGCTTAAAGTTAGTATTTGCTAGAAACAGACGGTTATCTGAGCATAATAATAATAATAGCTGCAACAGACGATCGCCATTATCTGTTCTTTTAGCGTTTATCTGATCAGTACATTTCTCATGAAGACTATTCAAAATGCAATCCCTGAGTACAGTTTTGTCCAACGATTTGAACGATTCTCTCTTACAAAAAATAGCCAAATTCGGTCTGCAGTAAGTGATGAGGTGCTGTTTCTACACAGCTGATTAGATGTTTAACTAATTTTCCCTTGAAAGGCATCTTTATTACATCATCGAAATAACATTTAAGGCGGCCTCCCGTTGTGAATTCCTCAGGTTCAGTAAAACACCTGGAAACCCGTGCTCTTACTAGAACGTGATCGCAGTCCGAATACATACACCAGTAGGAGCGTCAGTCTCCTGTTGAGCCTCCAAAACGTCCCCCGATGGAAGTATGGTCTTTTTTTAATCCATCATTGTGTTGATGTTGAGGATCTCCAAGTTGAGCTACGTCCTTTCTTCTTATGCTTAAAGTCTGCACTTGCCAGGAATAGACGCTTATCTGAGTACAACTGCATCACACAGTTACTGTTATCTGTTTGTTGAGCTGTGATGCCAAACGACCCACTTAAATGTTTCAGTTCGAAGTAGAATACTCTACTATGACCTTACGGGTATCAAAGAGGGATCAGTTTGACTAATATAGTGTCTAAAATATTAGCTTCAATAATACTTGGACGCCTAACCAAAGCTCGTGAAGAGCAGACCAGAGAAAACCAGTCTGGTTTCCGACCTGGACGTGGTTACATAGTCCAGATATTCACTCTACGTCAGGTCCTAGAACATAGACATACATTCAGACGTCTCACAATAGTAGTATTTCTTGACCTTAAGGCGGCATTTGACTCGGTTGATCGTGAGGTTCTATGGCAGTGTTTGTCAGTGAAAGGAGTACCAAAGAAGTACATTAACCTCATAAAGGCTCTCTACTCGAACACAACTGGTCGAGTTGGAGCCTACTACTAGTGTTCGATCATAGGTGTCTTCGACGCATTGCTCGTATATCCTGGGACCACCGGGTAAGTAATGCAGATGTTAGGAAACGGGTACTAGGTAAGGATGGCAAATCGATTGATGAAGTACTGAAACTTCATAAATCCATGAAGTCTCTGACAAGTGGACTGGGCCATGTTGGTACGTGTAGACTACCTGGTTGGGATTCGCGAGATGATAGCAACCGATGGTTATAGATCTTGAATGACATGGCTCAAAATCGTTTGCAATGGCGAAGGTGCATCCACTCTTTGTGTTCTACCAAATTCTAATCTTCTGAATTCTTCATGTCCGTATCCTTTTTCTCTTTCCAAATTTATTTCACCGTGTTATACCCCTTCAATAACATCTTCAAACCCTTATCTTTCACATAATACTTATATTCTTACTACTTCTACCAATATGGTATTTGAATCGACAACTTCATCTCTGTGCTAATGTGGTATGGCGACTCGAACTGATGTACGTACGTACGAAGTTCTACGTTGTAACTGACTGACTGACATAACCCGATATTCGTTTACATCTTTTCAAGTTGCCACATGTAATTGACACAGTGAGATGAGATTGTCTGGACAGATCACAGAATATTAGAAGTAGTAAGATTGTCGGTGGTAAGAAAAAAGATTATCAACCGATGATACGGCTCACGAAATTGTAAATTTGTTAAAAAACGTTTTTGCAAATGTAGAAATTTTGGATTTAAGAATGGATGAAGAATAAATGCACGCTCGTCATTCGAGATGATTTTGGGCCATGTCACTTAAAATCTTGAACCAATGGTTATGGTAATCACGCAGACCAAGTAGTATGCACCTACATACACAGCTCATTCCAAACCAATTGTGCACATGGGCTCCAGTGTCCTGAGGGAACAAATGCCGTATGAACCAATTATTGGTCACCGGCTACCGTGGGACTGCATCTGCTCACGATGCTCCACTGCCTTGTGGATCAGACCTTTAGGTGAAAGGCTCGGGGTGTGGCCCCTGTGAAAACCAGCTGCTTCAGTTTGGGCACCTGGGTAGTATCATAGCCCTCACACAAATCAAATGAGATTTGTGCGGCGCATATATATCTGGTGCCCCCTATACCAATATATATGTGCTTAAATAAATATAATAAATAAATAGTCACTGTTGTCATGGTCTGATCCCATCTCTTGGCTTAGTCACCCTTAGCTTTTTCTAGCCTAATTCTATACCAACCATCATCTTGCGTCAAGGTTGTCGTATGGTTGTAAATAATGTGTATCCTACCCATTCCAGGCGATAAAGACCCACTATCCCACCAACCGGTTCGCCATCCTTACCTAATGCTCTGTCTAACTTCAGAATTGCTAACCCGATGGTCCCTAAATACACGAGCAATTGTTCAAAGACACCTATTGTTGAGTACTATTAATTTATGAATATCACTTTTGATAGCTAGGAATTTGAATAAAGCGAACTGACACACAGTAAACTCGTTATCTGGTTGGTAGGTAAATATCTCGCCTACACCATAAGTGACGCAAGTTGAAGAAATCCAAACTGGCTTTCTCAATTTGTACGGAGATTTCATCAAACACCACCCTACCAGGGTTGATGAAAAGTCTGTCAGTATTTTCATCCATTTATTTGTTTGGTGCATATTTATTTTGATATCCATTTCTGCCAATATTTATATGTTCAAATAGATAACCCTCCAAATACTCTGTGTTTCCAAGCAATGTGAATGGGAAATTCACACAAGTTTCCTAAATTTTATTTAAGTTGTAATGGTCGTATTTTTCTTGTTCAAAGTCTCAAAATCCCGAGTGACATATAAGCAGTATCTCAATCGAGCGCACTAACTAGCCAAATATAATTATTTACTCGTCTTTTCTAATCAGTACAACAAACGAACAAGGTAAATAATTCGGTTTCCGGAGTTGTGATCTCATCTTATTGCCGTCTCTCAGATGCGTACGTACGTCATCATTTTCGAAAGTTGAACGAGGACGTCTAAATTTGTTTTTTTTTCAATATACGCCTGTATGTTGTTCGTATTAATAGAACTATTTTTCTATAGAGATATTCTAAACACTCTTTTTACGGGTAGTGTTAAGGTCAGGCGAAGGGTTCTTAGCATCTATTCAACGTAATATTTTGCCTTTCTAATATCGCAAGGAGTTCGTTTCGTCGTAAATGTACTTTATAAATTAGAAGACCGATTCGCAAGTTTACATTGTTTGTTAGGTAGACACAATCAGTAATTACATTTTTATTCGCGATTACTTTTCCTTAATTAAAATATTCAAATTGATTCGTTATTATCTTATGTAAATTCTAGAAGATTATTCGCTTCCAAAAGATCACTGCTTTCGTCGATATTGTTGTTTTTCTTTGTTCGTGTTCTTGTCATAGATTCATTGGTTTTCAATTTTTAATTCATTTATGATGGTATTGTTCCTTGTCGCATTGGTCTGCATGATTTTAATGCGAACATTACGTCGTGACTATGCAAGATATAACAAAGAAGATGGTCTAAGTGATTTGGTAAGTCTCCCCTTACTTTTATGTTTAGTTTAATTGTGGCAAAACAATTAGAAAACTGTTGTTTATTCTCTTCTCAATCTTACATTACACAGAGCTCACAGGTCTTATTGTAAGGCTTTTTGGTTCCTGAATTTTCCAGACGAGGGGTTCGTATTGCTTCTAGTATTTACGCGTTCGCCTATGTAGTTTTATGTGTATCTGGGACCTCACATCAAAAGCATTGATTCATTTGAAGGTTTACTACGGATAGTCAGGGTTAAAGAACTCAGTTTCTTTATCCGTATCCGAATCTTTTTCAGTGTATATCAATTAGTGTCAAGTATAGTTTCATCCATTTTTCTGACAGCTATATGTGTATTTTGTGGCTTCGTTATCTTCTGTTGGATTTTTATTTGTATCTTACTAATTGAAAGTCGATGGCAGTTTGATATTCCTCATAAGGACCTACATTCGACAAATTAAATGACTAAACTGAGAATCCAGTTTCCATTGCGATTTAACAGTCGTCTTGGAGACTCACCAATAGTATAGGAAGTTAGATTCGCTTTTCACAGTAGCCGAATTGTTCGATTATTCAGTTTGCTTGAAATCTTGTTACATGGACTTTAGTCTTGGACTAATAATCAGTATTTTAGTGCCCCGGGATTTGACTCCAGTTAGATTAGACAAATGATCGTTATTGAATGATTGCTGTCGAAATATAGGTCCTTATTATTCTCATATATTATTATCAACTTAATCCGCGTTAGTGTATAACGAAAATAAAATAAGCCAAATACGAGAATGGATTTTTGAATGCGTATATTTTGTGCATTCATTGGTTTGAACAGGCAGTCAGAGGAGTAAAGTGATAAAAAGAGAGCGAAGCAAAGTGCTGCGCAGTGGAAATGGCGTGTGAGCCAACTCGGTTTAATCAAGCGTTAATCAATATTTATAGTCATACAAAAATAAGATGCAAATATGTGATGAGTATGATATATATATATATATATATATATATATATATATATATATATACGCTCATATAGAAACAGTCAGGGTTGATAAGTGGATAATTAACAAGGTCAAAACGTAACTCAAGAAGAATGAATAGATCGACCTGTCCAGAAGCTAGAATAAGATGTATGGGCTTAACATAACAACCGACACTAAAATATGATACGTGTAGACAAATGTGTGCCCATGTTTCAAGCTCCAGTAAATTAGTTGCTTATCTAAGAGACGAAGTACATCTGGTATTACTTGTTACAGTGACCTAAATGATCGTATGTAAGAAAAAGTAGATAGGCTTGAGAAAATGTTTGGTGATAAATAGAAGTCAGTTGAATGTAGGTCTATTTATAGTTCTATAGTTACATTCTACAAACAATCAGAGAGTAATACTGATAACTTAAACATGTGCCCAGTGTCATAGTGATATGTCTTTTGATCGTTCGTTTAGTTCTCTTATCAGTTTGTTCATATCATGGTTTCTAATTTCCATTTGATTATATCCGATATGGCCTTTCTAAAGTCTATTTGAGTCCGACCGTAGCTGCCACCTTGACGTGGTGGTCGGGCTTGCCTCTCGTAATGACTCAACCGAGCTATATTGGCTGGAACATATGTTCCTGTAGGTTCTACCATGCCAGGCAGGTAGATTAGAGAACCGTAAGACTAAAAGCAGCAACTCAAGGTCTAAGGGCGAAGTCGTACTCCTGGCTGTAGAGGGTTGCGATAGCAGTAAGGTGTTTGCCTCGGACAACCAGCGTCTGCAGTGATGCTGCCTCCTTACAAGGAAGGGAGGGGTTGAAAAAGGTCGACCCTAAAATTGTCACGCCCCACCTTACCTCACGGATTTCCGTCCCCGGCGGTAAAGCCCTTTGAAGAATGGAGCTAACACGTCAATAATCCCCACAAAAAGCCGTGCGTAACCGGCCCCGAGGAGTTGTCCTTTGGGCTCTGCGGTCACACTCCGAGGTCGTTATGACTAACAATAATCCAACTTCCTTTTCAGGTTCCTCAAAAAATACCCTTCCACGGTGTGGGCGACCGGAAAGTGATATCAGCCCTCATACCCTCAACGACACACGAGACCAAGTTGGTCACATTCAAATCCTTCCTACACTTCTTAATAACTCTCTTATCTCCAAAACTAACCCTTCTCACGTCCCTTTATCACCTCGCACCGCTAGGGCAAGCGATTTGAGCACATGGAACGTTATTCCTGGTCTTCTGAAACCACTCTCTAAACTACAGGTAGGAGATTTTAACGTCCGAACACTGTGCCGAATCGGATAACAGGTTTCCTTAGCTAGGACATTAGAATCTCGCACCATCGATGTGTGCTGCGTCTGTGAACTGCGGATACAGGATCCGAGTAGCGTCATTCATTTGACCTCACCATATCAAAATAAAGAACCATCTCGATTCACGCTTCGTGTATCTGGAAGCCTTGATGTTGCTCTCCGTGGCCTCACTGGCGTAGGTATAGCATTGAGTCCTAGGGCAGAACTAACTGTTTTAGACTGGATCCCAGTAGACAGTTTTTTGTGCGCTGTCCGACTAAACGGAACAGTAAGGACTCAGAAAGATAGGGACACTCGTCGTTGCCTCTTCGTCGTCTCTGCCTACTCTCCCAATGACTGCAGCTCAGATGATATAAAAGATGAGTTTTACAGAAAACTTCCCGACCTTCTCCGAAAAACTAGGCGCTCTGATGTATTAATAATGGTTGGTGACTTTAATGCTTAAGTAGGTAAACTAAGTGAAAGGGAAAGACACGTGGATGGATCTTATGGTGTCATGGCTGAAAGAACAGATAATGGCGATCGTCTGTTGCAGCTATTATTATTATTATTATGCTCAGATAACCGTCTGTTTCTAGCAAATACTAACTTTAAGCACAAGGAAAAACATCTTTTGACGTGTCGACCCTCGAATTCTTCCCAACGTTGGACCCAACTGGATCACATCGCTCTCAGCCACCGATGGAGGGGCTCGATAGAAGACTGTCGCTCATTCTGGAGCACATGTTTAGACTCAGATCATGCTCTAGTGAGAGCACGTATCTGTCTGCGTCTTGCTGGACGTAGGAAAGACACTGCAACGATGCCTCTTAGGGTTCTACTTAATGATAGGCAAGCTAAGAATAGTTAGCAGAGATGGATAGTGGCTAGCAGTGGAATCCAGGACGCGCGTTTCGTCCTATTTTGGACTCGTCAGCTGGATGTACCTGCATCTCAGAGTTGATGTTCAAATCGATGGGAAGATTCAAACAAACAATACTAAGTTGAATTTAAACTTCACCCCATCGCACAAGCAAGTGGCTATCAGGACTCAGCGGCCGAGTGGATAACGCGATGGCGTTTGAAGCGAGGGTACTGGGTTCGAATCCCAGAGTGAACATCAACTCTGAGATGCAGGTACATCCAGCTGACGAGTCCCAAACAGGACGAAACGCGCGTCCTGGATTCCACTGCTAGCCACTATCCATCTCTGCTAACCATGCTTGTGAATTAAGGTATATCGAGGCAATACGCACAGTATGCACATATGCCAATTAGAGACTGACCAGTTGCAGTCCTAACAAATCGATGGGAAGATTCAAACAAACAATACTAAGTTGAATTTAAGCTAAGAATATATTTCAGGAACAACTGGAAAAACAGTTAGACAGACTTGTAAGTTGTGCCCACCCCGAAGCAGCGTGGAATGACATCCGAAAAGCTGTGGAAACAGCAGTGATATCCGCTAGTAAGGTAAGCCATAAGGTCAGGGAGAAAGAATGGATCTCAGCAGCATCTACCGCACTGATAGATGCTCGAAAACTCATCCCACCTGTCTCTGAACATAACGAAGAGTGGAGTCAGCTTAAGCGAAGGCTAATAAGATGCCTACGCAATGATCGTGAACAGTGGTGGGTAGCGAAAGCGAGAGAGATGGGAAAGGCAGCGGCAATGGGTAACAAAAGATAACTGTTCAGACTTGTTAAAGAAACCGGCATTAGGAACCCAACTGTTAGCGAAACATTGATAGACGTTCAGAAGCCTCACAATCGTAGTATTTTTTGACCTTATTGCGGCATTTGACTCGGTTGATCGTGAGGTTCTTGGGCAGTGTTTGTCAGTGAAAGGAGTACCAAAGAAGTACATTAACCTCATAAAGGCTCTCTACTCGAACACAACTGGTCGAGTTGGAGCCTATGGCGAACTGTCATCAGAATTGGTTACCTCAAGTAGTGTTCGTCAGGGCTGTCCACTCTCCCCATTCTTGTTTAACTTTGTCGTTGACATGCTTTTAGAGATATCACTTTTATCATCTCAATCTCCTGGAGTTAAACTTTTACCAGGAGATTCACTTGTTGACTTAGAATACGCCGACGACATAGTTTTATTCAATGAAGACGCTGACAAAATGCAAAGTCTTCTGACCACCATAGGCAACTATGCAGAAATGTTCGGGATGCAATTCTCTCGCTCAAAGTGCAAAATGTTACTTCAGAATTGGGTTGCATCGGCACCTGAACTAATGATAGGGAGTGAAGTAGTTGAGCGTGTAGACCACTTCACTTATATTGGGAGTCTCATCAGCCCTTGCGGTCTGGTGTGTGACGAAATCTCAGCACGGATACAGAAGGCTCGTCCAGATTTCGCCAACTTACACCATTTATGGCGTAGGCGAGATATCCGTCTACCAACCAAAGAATGGGTTTACTGTGCAGCAGTCCGTTCCGCCCTACTTTATGATGGAGTTTTGTTCTCTGAGATGGATGGTTTGGTCATGGAGCTTTCATCGTTCTTCTGAACGACATCATCAGCACAAACTTCGGGTAGAAGTGAAGTGTTTGAATTTCTGCACATGTAGTTCACAGCTTGTTCTGTACACCTCGATTTCGATTGATTCTTGTTGACCTTAAATCTGTCATTGTTTATTTCTCTGTTTTGGTCGTATCTCTCATTGGTTTGATTTTTTTCCTGTCTCTGCATAATTTTCCTGATTGGTTGATAAATTGAATTGATTTCAATGTGCTTGTTTATTGGTGATTGACCTGAATGCCAAGCTTCTAAAAATTCTCTGATGTTTTTGGCATTGCCTCTATCCAAAATCTCTTCATTTTCCCAGTCGATTGTGGCATAAATCCATGGAGTCACTGACAAGTGGACTGAGCCATGTTGGTAGGTGTAGACTACTTATACTTTTACAGCCTGTACCACTATGGGATTTGAATCGACAACTGCATTTCTGTGTTAATGTGGTATGACAACCCGAATTGAAGTATATACATACGAAGTTCTAGGTTGTCACTGACTGAATGAGTCTATTTGAGCATATTTCTAGATTGAGAAGTCATAGTTATTGCGTTTCCATCACCACTACGGTATGTTTGACTTATGCTAATACTCGATATAATTTTCTCTATCTATCAATACATGACAAGGCTAAAATGACATCATAAATATAACATTATGTATTATCAGAAGTCTTTCAGCTAACCAACACTATTTGACTAGTTTAACTTTTTTGATTTTTCTCGATGACTGAACTTCCGTTTTGAAATTATTTCTGATACGTATGAAGCCTTCTGATATGGTGAACCAATCAGAAGTAACCAAATGAGGCCAATCGATGGCGATCAGTGACTTAAAGGACATGTGTATGTCATTGGCTGAGAGGTGGTATATATTTAATTATTTTTGCCTTTTATTTAGTAGCCCAATATAATTTTTCGCCCAACTAATCATTTGGAAGGTTAGCGCGTTTCATATCGTGTAATTATGTTAAATTTCGGACACTGCCTGTCACGGCACTCAACATTAAAATACTCATGAATGCCCATTTCCGGGACATAAGCGTTTCTTTTTCTTCATTATAGAGGAAAAGAACGTAAGGAAATTCATTAATTTTTATTTTGCATAAGATATTTAGATTTATAAAGACGGTTAAAAATAAGTAGCCGAATTTCTTGTTAATTTTCAAGGATCGTGAATTGGGCGATGAATACGGTTGGAAACAGGTGCATGGGGATGTTTTCCGCTCACCTCCTCATTCATCGTTATTAGCTAGTTTAGTTGGGACAGGGATTCATATTGCCGTGGTTTCATCCATAGTATTATTCTTGGCACTAACTAATAAATTATACGCTGAACGTGGAAGTTTCATTTCTACTGCCATATTTGTTTTCGCTTCTACTTCACCGATAAATGGATTGGTTGGTGGCAGTCTATATGCACGTATGTCTGGTAAGTCACTTGTTTATGTTGTTATTTTTTAATTACGCCATGCATAAAAATTAAGATGTTATCATTGCCAAGCGTTTTCATTTTCTAGTGGTAGTATCGTGAATCTTAAGTGAATTAATGAAACTTCGATTAGATGGTTTTTAGTGTGTTTCTTTTTCACTGACTTAAAGCACGTTTATCACTTGGGTGGAATGTTACAATGACTGAATACCTAAGGTTGACTTTGATGTTGGTTTGTTCTCTGAGCTGGGTGGTTTGGTCTTTATATAGAACTTGGACTTTATATAGAAAACTCACAATGTGATAAACCTTTTAAATGTTTTATATCCTACGAATATACCTAACAGCGAAAGAATACGGAATTCAACGTGACTGGTGACTAGAAAAAATTTATGTAATACTGTAATTGCAACTGGTAGTCTCTCTATAAAATTTAATGCCTGTTTCCTTGATACATCTGAAAAATTTAATGTCTCCGCTTCTAGCTGCTACCTTGATATGATGGTTGGGCTTGAATACCATGATAACCCTTTCGAAATATATTGGCCAGAACACTTTTTAACTCTACTGTGTCAGGCACATCTGTTGAAAAACGGTAAGATTACGAGCAACAAACTCGTGGTTTGTGAGCAAAGTCGTACTTCTAACTGTATAGGAGTATAATAATGTTTCCATGAGACCACCAGCATCTGCAGTGTTTCTGCAACCTAACAACGAAAGGAAGGAGTTATGAAAGTTCTGTCCTGAAAACACCACACCACACGTAACCACACGAATTTTCATCTCTGGCAGTAGGGTTCTTTCAAATTAACTAACATTTGAGGAACTCCTCATGAAAAGTCCGTGTGTGACTAACCTCAAGCAGTGATCTCCTGAGGTCTGTGGCTGTGCCCCTAGATTGCTGCAACCAACACCATTCCAGTTTTCTTGTCAGGTACATAAAGATGAACCATTCTTCCACGCAGTGGAAAACTGTGAATCAGTGATTGTCTTCGCACTTCTAATAGATCAAAAGATCATATTTTTGAAATTGCTCTTCAAGCTACGTGCTGGGTCTTTTTATGTCTGAATTTTATGTCAAGTTGGACAACAAGCATCACTGGCTAAGACATTAGAATCCAGTCTCATCGATGTATTCTATCTCTGGAATGCATAAAAGATCACATTTTGGCAATTCACGTGAACTCGCCTAGACAATATGGAGAGTCCACACCACATACTCTTCGTTTATCTACAGGCAAGACGTCAACTTCTCGTGATCTTGTCGGTCTAGGTCTAACACCAGTTCTAAAAGCAGGACAGAGATTTGACTAGATTCCTATCGATGGCCGCTTGTATGCTGCCAGTCTCAGTAGGGCGATGAGAACTGGGAGAGACTGTCTTAACACCTTCACTGACTGTAGCACGAATAAAGTGCGAAATGACTTTCAGAGGACACTGGGATCTCCAGAAAGTCAGACGTTCAAGTGTATTAAACGTAGCTACCAATCTTAGGTGACCACCCCCGACCCTTTGACCTAAAGATCTAATCCAGCGGAGCAGCGTTAGTAGATATCCCATGGTAGCCGCCGACCAACAATAGGTTTATACGCCATTTGTTCCCTCAGGATCCTGGAGCATGTAGTGCCGTGCTTCAATAATAGTTCACTTTGATAACCATTATTATATCAATCTTAACGGTGTATAAAATCAGAAGGCAAAAGAAAGCGGCAACTATATTTTTATTGATGAATGATACAGAGCAGAAAGTTGTATGCACATGAGCAAATGTAAGCGAGCGGAGCAAAGATGATGCATAGTGGAGATGGCTAGGAAGCCAACTCGAGAGCGAAGCGAAAACAACGCGTATTGGAGATGGCTGGGAAGCCAACTCATTGTAAGCAAGCGTTAATCAGCATTTATAGTCAGACAAAAATGAATGACAGACATGCGATGAATAAGATACGAAATGTGCATACACATACGCTCATATAAAATGGTAGTCAAGGTTAATAAGCGAATAATTAGCAAGATCAAAATATGACTCATAATATATAGGTGAATTAGCTTGGCCAAAAGCTAGAATAAAGTATATGGGCCTAACATAACAACCGATACTACAAGCCCATGTACACCATTAGTTTGGAACCAGGGTTTTACAACCCCCCTAGTTGGGATCCTCCATATCCACCAACCCGATTAAAGCTCTGCTTTTCGTCCTCTCAATTTCGTAAACAACACCCCCGACAAGAGAAGGCAGTGAGTAGGGCTACCCTGGCAGTTGTTGTATGCACGGGGCCATGCGAGTACGTTTCGAGAGGGAGAGCTGACTCTCCCCACCCTCGGCAATACCTAAGCATTTGGGGGCAATGTTTGTGTTAGCGATAAGGTACCACTTAAGGGTGGCAAATCAATCAGTAAGGTAGTGAATCTTTAAATGAAGTGGTTGGGATATGTATTACGTATACGCAATCATGTTTGTTAGTGTAGGAATAGGCTGGAAGGAAGGTAAGAGGGGCGAAACCTTGACATAACATTAATCCATAAAGTTATTGACTTCTGAACAGCGGCGAATGTAGGTTCAGGCTACCTGATTGAGGTCTAGGTGATTATCGTAACTAATGACAATAACTTTTGGTGACATGATTTAGAACTATTCGTAATGAAGCGAGCACATCCACTCGTTGTTCTTGCTTGGATTATGAGTCCTGAAATTTTCTTGACTCTTTTTAATACCGAATCTATCCTAGTACTATTGATATTGTTACTATTTCTGCTACTCTGGAATTCGTCTTTATAATTTTATGTCTCTGTACTAATGGGCTGTGGCAACTTGAACCGATGCACTTATTTACCAGATTTTACGTTGCATGTGGCTGACTGAATTGACTGCTTCGTTGGGGTGAAATTGCGACTATTGTTCCAATGTCCGCTTGTTACAGTAAGTATACTTAATTGGATGGGCTGGCAGTGGATCCAGATGTTATCTATAAGGTCCGCAAAATAACTATGAATTACTTTTGTATAGAGCTTAGGTGGTGTGGCTCAGATGTAGTCATCATTAATATTCCTTTAAGGTCAGGGTTTTAATCACATTTCATACTTTCCATTTATTATTTTTGTACTGTTTTTTATATTTTATGTGCAGTTGATATTACTTCTATTTATTTTGTAATCTTGAGTCCACCCTGGTAATCCTTAAGTCATTCTATGGCCTAGGATAACGCGACAATTTCTTATTCTTTCTATAAGACGTAAAATATTTCTCTCCCTTTTGTTACCTTTTCTACTTGAATTTTCATTCAATCGACCTTTATTATTTTCTTATAAAATGCCTTGACAAGTATGTGTGTGACTAGATTGTTCGAAATATATAGCCCAAATACATCATATTATTCAGATCAACTCCGTCTTCTAATTGTTCTATCGAAATTTATAAAGGGGACTAATTGCTTAAAATTTCTATTTATGTTAAAATCTTTTGTTGGAATTATTTGAGCAATGGGAAGTTGGTTTGATAAACATTCGTGTCAGATCGTTTGTTGGTAGTGAATGACTGACTGTCGTGACAACATGAATCACTGAGATGTCGGACAGGGAATGTCAGTTGCAGTTTATGAGGGTAGCTACTTTAAAAGTGTTCGTTCTTATCATGTGTTGATTTTTGCTTGCACGCACAGAAGAATTTCCAACCTTAGTTTCCATGTAGTTGAACCAAATGCTAACTAAACTATTTTCGTAGTAAAAAGTTTAACACAATTCAGTCATGCCAAATCATGTGTTGGATTTTATTAATTGCTGCATTTTTGATAAGTTATTCTAATTGTATGGCCTCGTTTTCAGTATGATGTTGCAGAAGAAGTGGTCCACATTGCCGTTAGTCGTCGTTAAAGGGGCTCGATACAAGACTGTCACCCATTCTGCAGCATGCATTGTCTGCGTCTTGCAGTACATGGAAAGGCGTCAACTAGAATACCACTTAACGTTCAATTTGATGATGCAAAAGTCAAGAATATACTTCAGGAGGGAGTTAGGCAACCATGAAAGTGATATCCACCCCAAGGTAGCTTGGCACTATATCTAAAAAGCCATGAAAATAGCAGTGATATCTCCCAGTAGCTGAAACCAAAAGGATTAGGAAAGTCAATCGACTTCATCGACGTTCGAACTGGTGGATGCTCGGAAATTCATCCTATCTGTCCTTGAACATAATGAGGAGCGTATGGAGCTTAAACGTATGCTGATAAGAAGGCCATGATCGTAGGCGGTGGTGAGTAGCGAAAGCGATGGACAAAGCAGTAGCGATAGGTGACACTATCAAGTAGATGGGTACTAAAATCTAGCTGATAGTGAAACTATCGCGGAAACTGATGATACTATTACTCACTCTCAATCCACGAGGTTAGGTCGATTAACATAACCCTTCCAGAAACAGTTTACGCCGCATTTCAGTTACTCCTTAATCTTAACAACCTTACTTGAAGATTGACGTAAGTCATCCAACTCTTAGTGAGGTTGAAAAGGCTGTAAGTAATCTGAATCGAGGGAGAGCAGCAAAGCGTGATGGACAAGCTTTTCAGATTTCTAGGGATGGTGGTCCAATCTTAGCGGTTAGACTAGCTGGAATCTCAGCTAAACTCTGAGAATTTGACGTAATGCCATCTAGCTGGTCTCGATCTCTGATCGTCTTAGTCTATAAGAAAGGACAAAAACCCTCTTGTGACAATCACAGAGAAACCAGTTTGACTGGTATAGTGTCTGAAATATAATTCTCAATAGTACTCTGAAGTCTAATCAGAGCTCATGAGGAGAAAGTCCGAGAAAACAAGGGTGGTTTCAGACCTGGAAATAGATGTATAGACCAAATATTCATCTGGTCGTGGTACACAGACATATCTTTCGATGTCCGACTACAGTCGTGTCCTTTGACATTGAGTCGACGTTCAACCCCGTTGATCGTGAGGTTTTGTGGTGGTGTCTGTCATTGAAAGGCGTACCAAGAAAGTACACTAACCCTTTGG